ATGTCATTGCTTTGGCTCAAGGAAAAGTGCGCGCTGCACGCGCTGCCCACAAGGTTACGGGAGAGGTCGCAGTCACGGCGGGGTTCGTTCCTTTTAAGGTCCCGGGTTCCCCCGTTGTTGAGAAAACTGTGTTTCCCTCTCCTTTGAGTCGTTGTCCCCTTAGCCTTCCACGTAAAAAGGGCTGAGAATGGTACAGCGAAGGGGTCACCTGCATATGCGTATGAGTTCGAATAGTTGAACCGTCCTCAAAACGTACCAGTTAAATTCAGCTCGCAAAGTTGCCATTCCTGTTTCTTGGCGATTGTTGCAAGCATCCACATGTTGTAGCCGCCAGCAGGAGTTAGCACTTGTGATACTCGTTAGTTCCAACAAGTGCGGAGGATGCCACGCAGCTTTGAACATTGGGTAGATGATTCGTACACTTCCACTTGTTTAAGAAGTTGTTTTTTGTTGCCCTGTTGGGTTTAAAGGGAATCTATCACTACTGGACATATTTCGTTTTTTTTTTTCAGGGGGGCTTAAGCAAATGGAAGTACATGATCAGTGATCTTCTTGTTTCTGCGTGTTTTAATGTAACTACTGTAACTACGACCAGGAATTGCGCATCACGTCACAGCTTGCAGCGTAGCACGTGCCAACCCACCGTCGTGGATGGGCTCCCAAGGAATAGAGACCGCTATTTCTGTAGTCCCTCCAAGCATGGCAGCTGAAGGGGGGGGGTTGGAAGTGCCCGCCATTGACGCCGTGCATGTTCAGAGTTGGGTGCTCGGCGCCTTTCGAAGCCAAAGACCATTGGCGCGGAGGGCCTTGGGTCTCGGACCCAAGGGGTGCTTGGGGTTTCTACCCACCGAAATGACGCGTTTGGTTCTCGCTCCTAGAGCACTTGTTTGAACTGCGGATTTCTATCGGAAGCCACTCGCATGTTAGACATCCCCCTTCCCCCTAAATGAGTTCGGGTCCGACCAACTGCTGGCTCTTCCATGCTGAGTTTGGCCCAGGCCCCGGAGGTCCCGACCGCGGTATGGGCACGGAGCTTGGCCTTGCCAGTGCTTGGTTCTGACTCTGAAAGCGGGGGCTTTGAAGGGAAACACCACAGGGAAGCGAAGCTCAACATGTCGAGGGTTATGTGAGACGTTTTTTTTTATTTTAATGGGGACAACCCTGGCTGGGTTTGAGTTTGTAGGGGCACTTTTGTGGACGTGATGGGGGTTGATCATGGCCTGTTGGACTCTTTTTGCGGTGGTTCGAAACGGACACCTGTCCTTGTCTTGGCGCACAGTCATTGCGTGGTGAGACGCGGTGTTCAGCTGACAGAGGCCCGCGCAAGGCGCAAGGCTTCAGTGACGGACTGCGCAGTCAATGACTCGAACAAAACCAGAACAGTGTCTTCCATTTGTTTTAAGAATATATTTTTCCCCTGTTGGTTTTAAAGGTAATCTTTCCCTACTGGAAATATTTCTATTTTTTCCAGGGGCTTAAGCAAATGGAAGGTGTGCTTGTTCAATGCAGCAGTTTCGGTGTCGGCGTGTTAGTGGTCTGATTCAGAACGATTGTATCCTGGGAGTCTAAATGGGGACCAAGCACGGACTGAGCATCAGCTTGGCTCGCGCAACCAACAATGCGAGAGACTAAACATCGGAGCTGTGGATGTCTTGAGGATCTTGCTTGCGTCCCAAGGAAGCTGCGGTGATCATCTGGTTTATCCTTTTTACCGTAGTAATAGTGTTTGTGAATTCTCATGTGCTTGGCACAGCTTGGCATGAGTGCATTGGAGCGGAGGTTGGAGCTGACGTCATCAAGGCAGGGATACAATATTCGACAAGGGCTTGAGTCGCAGAACGACTGAGGTATTCCTATTGGGTGGTTTGACACGTTGTTGTTTTGGAGCAGTTGTAATGCGAGTTTTCTTGGGATGATGTTGAGCCAGAAGTCAAGGTTCCCGGAGTATCCCTTCGTTTGTGGCATGCTTTGCGTCTAGTCGATCCTCGGTTTGAGCGAATGATTCCTCTACGTCTCGTGGCAATCCACGAAAGTACCAATGATTAAATGAGTGTCTTTAGGCTGCCTGGATGGCTCCTATCTCTAGATATACAGCTCGAATCTGTCACTGCTTGGGTCGACCTGAAGGTATCATTTCATTGGAATTCGGTGCCTTCGCCCGCAATCTGCGCGAAGCATGTCCGCAACTGCGCAGAGAATGTGCGCAAACTCCAGTAACATGCGCCCCCAAGAGCTGGCCAAGCGTCAAGTTTCCGAGGTGCAAATAGACAGCCTGGCTTTGATTGCAAGTCAGCTGAAGCTGCTCCGCTCCCTTTTGGCCAATGCATCTTTGGACAACCAATTTTACTCAATGAGGCCCTTTTTTCCCTGCTCGGTCGTGGCTTGGCAGACATTCCAGCGCTGTTTTGCGCTGTTGCGCGTTGTTTGACCGAGACGTGTGCTCTTCTTTCATCTGCACTTTTTGTTCCTCAAGTGAAGATGCTGGTGTACATCACCCCCCCTTAAGATATCCCCCAGTTAACCCGCAGTTAACCCCGAGTAAATTCATGCAATTAGGGACACTCTGCCACCATCAACGATCTGTGCGTTTTCAGCGAGGTGCTGGCAGGTCCCAGCCTGACCAGCCACATCTACCAGCCTTCGGACCGGTGCGGGTGGGAGAGGCGATAGGGACAAAGGGTTGCGCCACTGAAAATCGACACAAAAGCCACTCACCTTTCCGGCGTGGGGGGGAGACTCTTACAGAAAAAGTAAGTCCGTGACCATGTTTACAGAAGAGACCCTTTTTTCTCATTTCACTCAGATTTTGAAACCTCCACAAATGGTTGGGTTGCTTTGGCCAGTACAGGGTTCCAGCTATTCTGGCCGGCGTGAACATCATGCTTACCACATGGGTTGAAGGATCTGTTTTTTTTTTTTTTTCCTCAGAGGAAAAGAACCCTCTTCCCTTTAGCAGCCAAGCAACAAGAGAGCTTTCCACATTGAGGCTGAACTGAGACAGCTTCTTCCAATCAGTTGACACAAAGCTTTTTACATCAATGTGCAGCCGTTCCATGTCCCCTTCCCCAAGCACCAAACTCAAAAGGTACGAAGTGCCGAGCGAGCACTTCCTTTGGGCTTGGAACGCAATGCAGCGAAGGCAACCAATTTTTGTTTTAAGCCGTGGCTCAAACATGGCAACCGCGTGGATGGTTGGGTGGTGACTTGGTTGGGTCAAAAAGTGCCTCCTTGGTTCTTTCTTTTGAACCAACGCGACACCGCAACGCCAGGAGGAGATCGGGCCAAATCCGCTTCTGGTCGCGGCCACTTGGCGAGTACATCGCGGCTGAAGTCTTCTCGCCGGTTTTGTCTTTGATAGAACCTTGAGTTGCATTTTTGGCAAAACGCGGGTGTCTTCCAAAGCAAGTTTATATTTCAAGGTAGACTGAATATCTGAACGCAATGTTTTTCGTGTAACCCAGATGTGCGCCAAGATAGTGCTTACACCCCACAAACATGGATTGGGGGCTTCACTTCATGTTTGTTGCGGGCTCTCTGAACAAAAGAGTGGGGTCTCCAAAAAAGTAGGTGGAACAAGACCACTTCTTCAAAAAAGTAGGTGGAACAAGACCACTTCTTCAAAAAGTTAGGTGGAACAAGACCACTTCTTCAAAAAGTTAGGTGGAACAAGACCACTTCAAAAAGTTAGGTGGAACAAGACCACTTCAAAAAGTTAGGTGGAACAAGACCACTTCTTCAAAAAGTTAGGTGGAACAAGACCACTTTTTGGACAATTGTTGTGCTCCAAAGCGTGGGAGGGAGCTTTCCATGGCCATGGGAGCGCTTTTCGCTCGGTATCCATGGCCAGGAGGAGCGGAATGCGCGGCCTGTGGACCCCTATGGGGAGATCCAGCCTGAGAAGCCGCCCAAGGCAGGAGCTGTGGTAATGATATCCGTCTGTCGATTGTGTAGACGTAGATGCATATGTGTATACATACACATGCACGCCATTATATATATATATATATATACACTGTATATATATATGATCTAGGTTGTGTATTTATATACATATATGTATATATATATATATATATGTGATGTAGTCTCTGGATATGTGACAAGATGGCGCCCTCTTCATTTAGGGTCCACCTTTCACACTGACAATAGCTACATTCAGTTCCAAGGTGGATGTGCAACTTGACGAGGCGTATAGTCTTGATTCCCCGCTTGAGGCCAAGCCTGAAGCTCCAAACACGAACAATGTCAAAGTCAACACAATGCGTTAATTTCTTCTGGAAGACCCATATAAAGTCCAGACATGTGCGAGCAGCTACATCATATATGAATGGATGCATGAATGTATGACTGTGTGTGTGTGTCTGGTGCGTGATGTTATGAAATGCCACGCAATGTGTTGCATCGTATTTTAGAGTCTTTAAACCCTGGTCTAATGTAATATGCGGGAAGGGAAGATCACGTTCCATGTCATGTCTGAAGTCATATCTCATGTCATGTTTCATGCTTCATGTCATGCCTTGTGACATTTGTCCTGTCATGTCTCATGTCATGTCTCATGTGATGTCGCATGTCATATCTCATGTCATGTCATGCCATGGCGTGCTATGCCATACAAAGTCACGCCATGTACGTAGCATACGTGGCTTAACTTAACGGAATGCAATTGTGAATCCTATGCACACATATGTGCCATGGTCAAAACACATTCAATTGAGGTTGGTATGGACCATGTAGTTTTGTCCTGGTTGTGCAAGCAAGGTTAGCATTTGTTCACTGGTTGCCCCCTCATTGAACAATGCTGATGCAAACTGTTATCTCAGAGGGTTTCGGAGCTAGCCAAAGGCTTAGTAACCCTACTTGCAGGGGTTGGGTGGGGGGTTAACTGGGGGTTCCAAAATCCACTTGGTGGGCCATCTACGACCACACACCCGGGGTGTCGGCCCACGGCATATCAGAACGACCAGGATGAAGCCGTGCGCGCGCACGAGTACCGCGCCAATGCCTGGACCACAGCTAGGGAAGTGGCCATCCGCTTTGGAGGACCCCAGGAGTCCTCCATGTGACTTCGTACAATATCACCTGCACGTGGATTTGAACTAACTCGTTTCAAGAACTGTTGGCAATTGTGACGAGCTTCCAGATGTCGGCCTAAAACAAAACTCACACGAGGGAAGGGCACTTGGGGATTGATTCCCCGTGGCCAGCTAAAAAGTCGTAGTTCTTTGCCCAGACTGTCAGGTACTCCTGGTGTGCCTGGTGTGCCCTAACTCCATTTGACCTCGCAACATATCGCCCATGTGATCCTTCGTTAAGTGGAAAAGGGACCCCTTGGAAGCGGACATGAAGGGGATGTAGGTCTACCAGCCGCTGCACAAGCGGGCTTTGAAGGAGTGACACTTAGGTCCTTTCGGGTGACTAAAAGGTATATTTTTAGGCCATTTTGAGTATCGCACACACCAGCTTGATTTAGATTCGCATGTGAAAGAGGTGATCTTGGGACATATCTTTTGAAGGGACCTTACTCGGGCTTCACTTTTGGCCCAGACAGGCGTGGCATTGGCGCATATCGCTCGGATTTCTCGGCTGCAGCGTGGGCCGGAATGATCAAGCGCCAGCCGGGGCGCAGCATATGCCGAGATGACTCATGCGATACACCATGTCCGGAAAACTGTCCTGAACCCCTGCGGGGGAGGGAGGAGTGCTGCTTGAAGGATTTGGCAGGAGAATTAAACCCAGAGATTATTTCTATCAGCCAGACCTGCAACTTGCAACTTTTTACTTTAGCTTAGCTGCTTAGCTGCTTAGCTGCTGCTGTTTGGCCAGCTTCTTGTTCGGCTCTCAGAGCAGCCACTTTGCAAATCGAAGTCGATCTGCATAAAGGCGCGGACAAGGCAGGGGTTGCTTTTGGGGCTTCATCGACCTTTCGCAAAGCAGCTGTTTCCCCAGCAAGTAGTTGGGGTCTGGGAGCAGCCGTGCGCGGACGCGGTCTGAGAATGGACTCGAGGTGAAGCATGGAGGTGCTGCAGGAAGCAAAGGATAAGGCTGGAGCTGCATGTCTCTGTTTTGGACATCCAAAGTTGCAATTTCATTGGAAACCAGTGAGTTGCAACATGTGTCCAGTGTGAAGGCCTGCAGCAAGATCCCGCAGTAAATGTGAATAGGCCCAACACGGCATGTGGGTGTGGTTCTTTTTTCAGACTCGGTACACTTTTTTGGGATTGTCTTCAACGGCAAATGTGGGGGGAAACCGAAGCCTATGTCGCTGACAAGCCATATCCCATTGAGAGACAACCCCATGTGAGGTTCAGTCAGAGTTCCCGGTCTATGGTATATTTGAGAAGGACATGGGGGGGACGCTCCGAATGCCCCCAGAAAACACATCAAATTTTCCCATCTCCATTCTGGGGTAACACAATGCTCAGTTGCATGCAGCCTTTTTGGCACCCGGGTAGTCCTTGGCGCACTTCCTCAAGAAAATGTCGCAGAGCTCGTACCGCCGGCTGCTCAGTGCATGAAGTCTGGAGGCGGTTCAGTGGACCTTGGACTTGCAGGTTCTTTTTGGGTCGATGGATCCTTTTGCACGGGACCTGGCCCCTTGCATTGCGCTGAATGGCTATGCTTCGCTCATCAGTTTGCCACCCCCCAGTGGAAGGGACGCCACGCTGGACCTAGAGAATCAGGCACATACATAGATAGATACATAGATAGATACATACATACATAAATTGCATTTACATTACATTACATTACATTACATTACATTACATTACATTACATTACATTACATTACATACATTACATACATTACATACATTACATTACATTACATTCCATTCCATTCCATTCCAGTTACACTACATTACATTACATCACATTACATTACATTACATTACATTGCATTACATTACATTATACATTACATACATTACATTACATTCCATTACATACATTTCATACACTACATACATTACATACACTACAAACATTACATATTACATTACATACGTTACATGCATTACATACATTACATTACATTACATTACATTACATTACATTACATTACATTGCATTGCATTACATTACATTTACATTACATTACATTACATTACATTACGTTACGTTACGTTACATTACATTACATTACATTACATTACATCACATCACATCACATCACATTCCATTCCATTCCATTCCATTCCATTACACTACATTACATTACATCACATTACATTACATTACATTACATTACATTGCATTACATTACATTACATTACATACATTACATTACATTACCATTACATTACATACATTACATACATTACATTACATTACATTACATTACATTACATTACATTACATTACATTACATTACATTACATTACATTACATTACATTACATTACATTACATTACATTACATTACATTACATTACATTACATACATACATTACATTACATTACATTACATTACATACATTTACATACACTACATACATTACATACACTACATACATTACATACATTACATTACATTACATTACATTACATTACATACATTACACATTACATACATTACATTACATTACATTACATTACATTACATTACATTACATTACATTACATTACATTACATTACATTACATTTACATTACATTACATTACATTACATTACATTACATTACATTACATTACATTACATCACATCACATCACATCACATCACATTACATCACATCACATCACATTACATTACATTACATTACATTACATTACATTACATTACATTACATTACATTACATTACATTACATTACATTACATTACATTACATTACATACATTACATACATTACATACATACATTACATTACATTACATTACATTACATTACATTACATTACATTACATTACATTACATTACATTACATTACATTACATTACATTACATTACATTACATTACATACATACATTGCATTACATTACATTACATTTCATTACAGTACATTACATTACATTACATTACACTACACTACATTACATTGCATTACATTACATTACATTACACTACATACACACACATGCACACATACATACATACATACATACATACATACATACATACATACATACATACATACATACATACATACATACATACATACATACATACATACATACATACACACATACATACGTATATAATACATACGTATATACTACATACGTACATACACTAGGTGTCAGCATCTGCTTCTAAATTGTCTTCTTTGGACATTGAGAATTCAATGAGGGACGGTTTTCAAGAAAAAGAACATATAAGCGCATGTCAGTGCATTCTTCTCGGCAAATCATCACGAGCTCACCGATTCTGGGGTAAGCACAAGAAGAACAGTATGCCCAGATTCTTGCAACGAGATGAAAGAAACAAGCCTCCGAGCCAGATTTCAGCCTTTGATCTTATGGTGTTTGAGTTGGCAACTGGAGGAGACAGGCATCAACGGGAGTGATCTCTTCTGCAACACGTGCAACTTTCTTTGACTCCTTTTGGGGCTGGTGTTTCTGGTAAACGCCGGCATGAATGATGTTCATGTGCCTATTCTTCCCATTGCATTCCGGAAAGGAGACGCGAATGCAATGCTAGCGTCCGACACCTGCAATTCTGGCACGTAACATTTTGTTCACGGCGCCTCAGGGGAGGACTACTGTCTTCGTTCTGAGTTGAAGAAGTTCAGCGCAGGAGCCAGCCTCTTGTTCCCACGCTTGCTGCGACGTGCGTTGGTCACAAAACGGTCACGCCCGACAAAAGAATTGCAAAACAAGTACCCTCGCCCCCACCAAAACGCAACCTGAGTGGACGGGGCTTGGAAGATCAGTGTCCTCTACAGAGGACCTTTTGGTGGTGGGATGGCAACTGCTCTCAGGGACCTTGGTCGCGTCCAGCATTTTTTTTGGATGGCCCACCTTCTTGCTTCCTGATATCAAGCTGTAAAACACAAGAAGCCGGGATTTGGGGCAACGGGTGCCCTTCTCCAAAAGTGGCAGATTGCTGTGGATACCTCTTACTTCTTTACATGCGTTGGGCAGGTCCTTTACTCGTCCCCAGGCTTTGGTTATGACAACTCAGAGCTCAGAAGCGACTCGGCGCTTCAGGAGCCGAGCCGTCAAGGCCAAGGAGCGGGCCGAAGCGCCGAAGCGTCGAAGGGCTGCGCTGGGCATCTTTCGGCCTTCCGGCGGACCTGACGACTCCTGAAACCATTTTGTATGACCAGAAATTGGTGTGCCATGGTAGTTGGTGGGATGTCTTCTATTTTCCCTGGAGACCAGAAACTGGTGGGCCATGGTAGTTGGGATGTTGGCCGTGAGTCCTTCGGCTAGTGCCGGGGCTGAAGAAATCAAATGCGTGCCTTCGCTCACCTTGCTGGGTCCAGGTTTTTCCGGACCCAAGTCCAAAAGGGGCGTGCCCGTCCTTTTTCGCGGGACCGCGTTTCGGGTGGCTGAAAAAAAACAACGGACGCCGAATGGACAGCTCCCATTTCAAATCTGTGTGGAGGCCTGCGCGGCGCGAAGGCCAGTGATTTTTTCCTTTACTTCCTTGCACGGGAGCAAAGAGGGGGAGGCTAAAGGATGTGAAAGCCATTTTCCTCTTCCAGACTCCATCCTGGCTCTGTCCTCAGTTGGCCCGCATCGGGGCACAAGTTGAGGCTTGGATGTTTCTGCCCTCGCCAACAGCGGGCTCAAAATTTGCTTTCAAGTCTCTGATTGTTTGAGGCAGGCTTGCCCTCCCAAGCTTGGCATGCTTTCGTTGTGCCTCTCGATTGAGAGGACCGTGGCTGCACCGGAAGCTCTAGAGGCTTTAGAGGAGGAGGAGGAGGCGCTGTCCTGTGGCCATCGAAGACCAGCGGACGATGGTTGGACAATTACAGAAGCATAAGTGGGAACTTCCTGAGCCGCTAGAATAGAAACGTCACTGGTGAGGTCATTGGCAATACCATGCTGACCTTCA